TCTGTGTCCTTATTGGGGAGTCTTTCAGATTTTTGTTTCAGCTCAGTGCTATAGAATTATAACCTCTGTCAGAACAGACAGTAAGATGAAATAACCAGAATTGGGACACAAAGGTTCCAACTTGTTGCTATTAGGAGATAAATCATTATGACCCGGAGCCAGAAGGTTTATGGTTACATGTGGTGGGAGCAACCCCTCACTTTGCCTGACCCATCTCAAATGTTTGTAAGCCACCACTTAGACAAAGATTTTATTAATCTGATATTAGATTTCTTCTTATTAGATTTAATATCTGATGTGAATGTTCAATATATACAGTCATGGCCGAAATTGTTGGCACCCTTGATATTTCTCCAGGAAATCATGTATTTCTCACGAAACGTATTGCATTAACACATGTTTTGCTATACACATGTTTATTCCCTTTGTGTGTATTGGGACAAAACAAAAAAAGGGAGGAAAGAAAGCAAATTCGACATAATGTCACACAAACCTCCAAAAATGGGGCTGGACAAAAGTATTGGCACCCTTTCACAACTGCGGATAAATAAGAATGTTACAAGCATGTGATGCTCCTGTAAACTCACCTGGGGCAAGTAACAGGTGTGGGCAATATAGAAATCACACCTGAAAGCAGATAAAAAGGAGAGACGTTCACTTAACCTTTGCATTGTGTGTCTGTCTGTGCCACACTAAGCATGGACAACAGAAAGAGGAGACGAGAAAACTGTCTGAGGACCTGAGAACCAAAATTGTGGCAAAATATCAACAATCTCAAGGTTACAAGTCCATCTCCAGAGAACTAGATTTGCCTTTGTCCACAGTGCGCAACATTATCAAGAAGTTTGCAACCCATGGCACTGTAGCTAATCTCCCTGGTCGTGGACGGATGAGGAAAATTGATGAAAGATTGCAACGCAGAATAGTCCGGATGGTGGATAAGCAGCCCCAAACATGTTCCAAAGACATTCAAGCTGTCCTGCAGGCTCAGGGAGCATCAGTGTCAGCGCGAACTATCCGTCGACATTTAAATGAAAATGAAACGCTATGGCAGGAGACCCAGGAGGACCCCAATGCTGACACAGAGACATAAAAAAGCAAGACTACAGTTTGCCAAAATGTACTTGAGTAAGCCAAAAGCCTTCTGGGAAAACGTCTTGTGGACAGATGAGACCAAGATAGAGCTTTTCGGTAAAGCACATCATTCTACTGTTTACCGAAAACGGAATGAGGCCTACAAAGAACAAAACACAGTACCTACGGTAAAATATGGTGGAGGTTCAATGATGTTTTGGGGTTGTTTTGCTGCCTCTGGCACTGGGTGCCTTGACTGTGTGCAAGGCATCATGAAATCTGAGGATTACCAAAGGATTTTGGGTCGCACTGTAGGGCCCAGTGTCAGAAAGCTGGGTTTGCGTCCAAGATCCTGGGTCTTCCAGCAGGACAATGACCCCAAACATACGTCAAAAAGCACTCAGAAATGGATGGCAAAGAAGCGCTGGAGAGTTCTGAAGTGGCCAGCAATGAGCCCAGATCTAAATCCCATTGAACACCTGTGGAGAGATCTTAAAATTGCTGTTGGGAAAAGGTGTCCTTCCAATAAGAGAGACCTGGAGCTGTTTGCAAAGGAAGAGTGGTCCAAAATTCCGGGTGAGAGGTGTCAGAAGCTTATTGATGGTTATAGGAAGCGACTGATTTCAGTTATGTTTTCCAAAGGGTGTGCAACCAAATATTAAGTTAAGGGTGCCAATACTTTTGTCCAGCCCATTTTTGGGGGGTTTTGTGTGACATTATGTCATATTTGCTTTTCTGCCTCTGTTTTATATTTGTTCCAATACATACAAAGGGAATAAAACATGTGTATAGCAAAACATGTGTTAATGCAATACCTTTTTTGTGTGAAATACTTGATTTTCAGGAAAAATATCAAGGGTGCCAACAATTTCGGCCATGACTGTATGTGTAAAGCACTGCGTAAATTGACAGCGCTATATAAGTACCTGAAAAGTACCTGAAATATTTGTCCATTCCATTGAGTTGCAATTGAGCCATCCTTGGACAAATAATAGAGAGGGTAGTATTATATATACAAGCAAATTTAGGTGGACTTGAATAACAATTTAAATTTGAACTCCAGCTAACCCTTTTTAAGAAGTTACAGCAACAGTTTATTTTCTCTTTCGGGATAAAAGCTTTACACAAATGAAAAATAGCTAACCATTATAAGCACTCCTGCCTGAATTATGTGTCTCAATCCTCTAACCACCACATTTGGTGGACAGTGTGACTGTCAGAAGAAGTTTAAAAGTAATAGACTTACTGGCCAGATCACCAAGTGAAAATAAAGGGAAAAAACTTAAAAGAAGAAAACTAATAAAGTTTTATAATCTATGGAATGGTAAGCTGCAATATATTACATTTTTGCTTTTGGTTTAGATACCCTGTAGTCTATCACTGTCATTATCAACCTCCTTGCCTAGTTCAAGCCAGTAGTTCTTTATTCAGGAAGCTATGATTCTGTGCTGTGTATGTTTCTTAAATTATTTACATTGTAAGGACTAACTTCTTTCCCTGTCTAATATGCATCAACTGACTGATCTAAAGAGGAACAGTACTCTAAACAAAACACACATTTCCAGTATATAATTCCATCTGGACACAGTGGGAGACATTAAAGTCCTTACAACACACTTTTCTGGTGTTTTGTCCCTTTAAATTTGTCATCATCAGATTCAAAAAGCTCTGCAGCCAGTTTTGGTAGTTGAACTGATATATGCAGCTGATTCAGGTAATTCTTAATAGTGCCATTTTAACAAAATGGCTACAGCAAATTAAAAAATAATTACCTCCAGTTTGTAGATAACAAAGCAGGAGGCTATTAAGACCAACTTAAACTGGGCATACAGAGACAAGCAGAGCACCTGTCTCTGTACTCTGTAAAAGAGCAACATGTTTGCTGCTGCTACCCCCTTTCCACCTGTTAACCAATGATGCGGATGTCAGGCAGTCCCCTTGTATCAGGGAGACAATAATCAATTGTGTGGATTCCATACAAAACATAATAATTTTAAGGTATTTACTGCGGGATTTTAAAAACACAAATGTGTCCTACGTACATACAGAGCTCCTCAGGGATGTGCGGAATTAACTAGACCATATGGGTACAGCATCTATGATGAAAGCAGCAATGTGGGCAGAAAGATGAAAAGGACGGATAAACAATGATGATGAGAGCATGGTTCACCTCTGCTCCTGTAGTAGATTTGAGTAGGATCACCTCATAAGCAGGAGAGAAGTAAAGAGCAGGGTGCTACATTTAATAACAAGCAGTGACAACTTTATTAAAAAGCAGCACAGTTACTTTTTAATATTCACCAATCCTCCATAGGCTGGAGGGCACAGAATGTATGGGGCATCAAGACAAAAGGCAGCTGAAGGCACAGTGTAAACATTGGCACCATCGAGCATGCAGCACAGGGACACAGGGGCGCCAAAACCAGCCAGTGATATAATATAGACGAGACTCCAGCAGCGCTCTTTGGATGGCAGCTGTCAGAATGCCTGGATGATGTTGGGAGGGTGGATAGGCATAACATGTTTCAAGGGGCTCCACCCTCTTTTTCAAATGGAAAGAAGGAGAAGGGAAATAAAAGGGTTAAATAGCCGGAAGGGCGGGGAGAGGGAGGAGAAGGAGGGAAAAACAAGACTCATTCTTGCTGCATTCTTGGCTTTCCATCAGACAAGACATGACAGTGTACATGAACAATGGTATAAAATATTTACAATAAAAGCAAATTAAAAATTGATGGATGAATTGCTTCCTGTAGATCAAACCCAATGCACAACTGACATGTGTAACAGTATAAATAATGAAATAAAAAGGCAAGAATAACCAACAATCATGGTGGGAATAACAGGGACCATAAAGGAAGAAGGAAAAGACATATTACAAGATGGTCCACACTTCAAGCTCCTCATTCAGACCCTCTGGTGATAAAGTATATACAAAAAGTTTCTCTGCATCAAAGGGCATGAAACCTCTCCATCACAGGCATGGGGGGGAATCTGCTTGAGGGCCCAAACATGAAGTAGACCAGTTATGCGTGAACGTAAAGTGTCGGGGGCCACTGTGATCCATACTGCCCTCTTCAATCACTCTCCTGTACTCACTTGTTTAGACAGTGCAAATTGTCCGGCCCACAGAAACATGACCACAGGGACAAGAGAGACAATAGATGACATGTGGAAAAGGAGAAAAAGGAACTAATAGGATACGTTTTACCGTTACTGTCAGTGAAACTTTATTTTACAATGATCCATACGTTTACACATTTTACATTTTAGTTTCTTACACTGAAACATCCCCACAACATTGTAAAAAGTTGAAGGCAGTGATTGCACAATGGGCTGTAGAACAAAATAGTAGACCAGCAGAAAAAAACAAAAACAAAAACAAATGTAAAATATTTTAAGATAGTGACAAAATGTATGTATTCAATAAATGTTGAAATAACAGCCCTCAGTGTAGTGAAAAAAAAAAGTTGTGATAGAACCCAGGCAATAATATACTGTATAACAGCAGTCACTAAATGGCGGACTACGGTCCGCGAACGGACCCAGCAGCACTGCCTCCCGGACCGCCAGCCCGCAATGACAGATCTGCCGCTGAGCAGGGCAGTTGTCATGGCAACATGACATGACATGTGCTCCATCCCTTTCAGCTCACTGTCTGTCCGGCTCCAGCTCCCTGCCTGTACACAAGCGTCCAGCAAGGATCCTGGCAAGCTCCTGTCTGCCCTCAAGTTAGGGTGTAGTCTTACAGGGGCACTCTGATGGGCATATGGAATGTTAAGGGGCACTCTGATGGGCAAAACATAGAATGTGCTCATCAGAGTGCCCCTTAGTATAAACTGTATCCATCAGAGTGCCCATTAATATAAATGTGCCTATTAGACTGTCCCTTAAAATAAAATGTGTCCATGAGCATGCCCCTTATTTTATGTCAAGGGACATTCTTATGGGCACATTTTATGTTAAGGGGGCACAAATGGTCACATACTGTGGAAAGGGGCACTTTGATGGGCACTTGTGATGGAAAGGGGCACTCTGATGGGGAATATGACATAAAGGGGCACTCTGATGGGGAAATATGATAGAAAGGGGTACTTTGAGTGTAAGGGGGCACTCTGATGGGAATACCTGATGCAAGGTTGCAATGTGATGGGGATACCTGATGTAAAGGGGCACTCTGATTGGGACAACTGATGTAAAGGAGCACTCTGATGGGCACACCTGATGTTATGAAAATACATGATGTAAAGTTGCATTCTGATGGCAACACCTAATGTAAGGGGGCACACTGATGGCCACGCCCTATTTGGACCTCGGCTAGAAGAAAACTTTAGTGACTGGACCTCCTTGAATTTTAATTCAATACCCCTGCTGTATAAGAAAAAGTGAACAGTAAAATAAATGTACAACTGGGAGGAAAAAAATATTGCTCCACATACAATATATCACTCTACAGTATATGATTGCACGCTTGCTGTGACCCTTCTAAAAAGATGCACAGCTGCAACCCAACTTTGTATTACAAACAAGTCCATGTACAAGAAGACATAGATGAGGCAGAACATGGGGAAGGGGGTAAAGGAGGCTGAATGGCAACTGATTATGGACAGTGGGGCATATATAAGGCAGAGTGGAAAATAATTTAAGCATGGGGTGGAGGAGATGGAGATGTGACCGCCAACCATGGAACACTGGAAGAGACAGAACAGACAGAGTAAAGTACAACTGTTAAGGGAACAATGTTCCATAGGGACTGGAAACTAAAGATAAGGGAATGTTTTTTTCCAGGGCATAGGCATCTCTAAGTGAATGATGTGTATGCAGAAAACCTGCCAGATTTGCACTGAAGAGAATAGATTTGAGAGGTGGGTCATGTGGTTTACAGCACTGAAAGGAAACATAATTCCTATTCAAGTCTTGGGACAGAAGTGCATACATCTAGTTTACAGCTAGTAATAAGAATGTGCCAGCCCAGTACAGACAGGGTTAGTTATGTTAAATATAACTACCTAGAACTTTTTTAACATTACAAAGATGTGGAAAGCCAGGTGGGATTTTTTTTACCATGTAAAGCAAGTAAAAATTTAAGCAGCAATGTTTAAATATTTTTTTAAAAGTTATGTTATGTGAATAGGAACATATACCAAAACAACCAATGCCAGGGCTGATCCTACACAAGGCAAAACATGCACTGAGGTGGCTTCTTTTGTTTGCTGAAAAGCAGCTATTTCCTTTTGTGCTACTAGCCCCTCCCTCTTAGATTGTAAGCTCCAAGGAGCAGGGCCCCCCTAACGCTCTTATATTGAACTGTATTGTTGCTGTATTGTCTTCTGTTATATTGTAAAGCGCTGAGCAAACTGTTGGCGGTATATAAATCCCATATAATAATAATAAGCTGTCTACCAGTGTGTAGTCTTGCAGTCTTTAAAGGGCACCATAAAGCTGGTTTCACACTGGTGCGCTGCATTAATGCGCACAATTGTGTGCTATGGGTGTTGGTGTACTGTCATTCATTCCTATTGGCACACAAAAGCACTTCACCAATATTTATTTATACTGCAGGGTATAAATACCATCTCCAATATGGTGGATTTTCCACTTCCTGATGACCATCTATTGGTCGAAAACGCGTCGAGGTTTGATGACGCAATTTCCGCTGACGTCACTTCCACCCTTTGGAACGCATGCTGGAACGCAGCGGCCATCCTGGTTTCCATTCACAGGCAACAAGGCTGAATACACTGAGTGCCAGGTTATGGGCACTTTGCTTGTGAGTTGTATTCTTACTTTCTCTCCCGCTATATTAAACATTTTTATGGTTTTTACACTATGGGATGTCCGCTTTTGTCTCTGTTTTCATGCTGATATTTGCTATACTGCCTGTGGAGGAGAGGAAGAATTTTTACGCAGCCCCTGTAGAGTAACACCGTTACCAATAGCAAAGCTGTTTAAATCCTGTCATAGAACATTGGTTACCATCAGCAATACTGCATATACCCCCGAGAGGGATTATTGGTACCACTACTATGCAGTAACAGGGGATAGTCCCAAACAAAGCGCATTAGACCATCCTAGAGATAGGTGGTCACGGGCAGGGGCAGACCGACCATTTGGAAACTCGGGCACTGCCCGAGGGCCCGGGGTCAGTAGGGGGCCCCATGAGATGCCCCTGGTACCTTTTTCATAGGCTTTTTTGAGTTTGGGCAAGGACACAGGGGCCCCATGATCCCCTATTGCCCGGGGGCCGCATGAGTTGTCAGTCCGCCCCTGGTCACGGGATGACAGTGAGTGCACATCCATGTGGGGCACCGGTTTGAGCACAGTGGAGCACCCGTCTTCCTTAATGAAGCTCACCATTAAGCTTACAGCACTTGGGCACTTTATTTTTATGAATTGGGACTGCTTAATAATAACAATTCTATTACATGTGTAGTAATTACCACTAGTATATATATATATTTCATTTCACTAAGATTAATGTATGCATGGTCCATATGGTATTTTGTTTGTTTTTGTGTTTGCTGGTTCTCAAATTAGGACTGCTGCATAAATACGGTTTATTTGCACTAAGATTCTATTCATAAGCGCAAAATACTTCATTCACTTTACCAATATACCTACTTTATGTATAATTTCAATAGTCCTCTGCACATCAAGTACGAGACTGAGAGTGGAAGGAAAATCACTGTGAGTCCATCACTGGCATTTATAGATGAGATATCATATGCTGTTACTATACACTCACTCTTCATGGTGCATCATTAGATAGAACAACAAAGCTCATAGAAACTATCCTTCCCAATACAACTGAATATGACTGGTCAGGCAGAGAAGCAGTTAACCTTAAGCAATATGCAGTGGAGCATGTAGGATAACCACTTATGTGTCTGAACTCTCAGCAGTATCTATTTGTCTCTTCCATGTCATTAACAACAGATCTGTTGATAAACAGAGCTATCTAAAAGCGAATCACATACTGGAGACAAGTGAGGATTTTACAGCTGAGAAGACACTGTAAATGAAAGTTCAGACATAAAGGTTAGAATCTGAAAGCATCTGATGCACTATATACTGCCATCATCCTAACATATTTTAGCTATGGGGTTGTCATTAGTGTGGTAATGCTCATTCATATTGTAATAGTGTAAAGAATGAGGAAAAAAACCCAAGTGGGAAATGATCTATTAAACTTTATTGTAGGATAAATAACTGATTCATCAATGCTTTTCTCATAAGGCTGAATAATAAATATTTCCTCTGGGCAAAGTGAAATGTTACCTTTATGTTTCAGTCTGTCACCAGTATTAAGCACTTTTAATGCTGGAGCCTTATCAATTGTTAAAATATGGCCATTACTAACCCTTGCTAACAGCTGCCCATGGTGACCAAAACTGGATATGAAAGAGCGGTGCATAGTGATAGTCAACATTTGGGAATGATTAGGTGGGACACAATGAAGGATTAGGAAGAAAAAAGTGTCGCACCTCGGGCTAAATAACTGTAGGCAGGGCCAAAAAGTGGGTGTAGATGATAAAGTGGGTGTCACTTCATGGCCTATGTAAAATAGTATTACAAGTCCCATTTTTTGTGTCAGCGGCCACAATATTAGTCCCAGAATTTGGATGTCTCTTCATAGCTTACTGTATGATTTGTAGTGTGGCACCTTACCCCTTTGCTTTGTTATAGACAACACAGGGCCTGTAGGCAGGGCTGCTGTTAGAAATCACAGGGCCCACCCCCCCCCCAAAAAAAAATACCAAATTATATTTTTTTTGCTAAAAATACACTAACATCATTATTAGTTGATGCAAACACAACACAATTTCTGTAAAAGCTCTGTGTGAATGAGGTCTTGGAGCTTGTTCACATGAGCACAGTGGCCTATACACTGTAAATCAGTAGTTTGTTTATGTGGCTGGAGCCACCTAGAGCTGTATGCTGGCAGCTTATTTTACTCTACGTAGGAGCAACAGCTGTACGAACCAGGGGTGGACTGAACATTTGGAAACTCGGGCACTGCCCGAGGGCCCGGGGTCAGTAGGGGGCCCCATGAGATGCCCCTGGTACCTTTTTCATAGGCTTTTTTGAGCTTGGGCAAGGACACAGGGGCCCCATGATCCCCTATTGCCCGGGGGCCCCATGAGTTGTCAGTCCGCCCCTGGTACGAACACAACCGCTAGTCCTAATTTGAAAGACATGTGAGTGCAGGTGTACAGCATCAAAGACAGCGTGTATTCGGGGACACTCACCCACCTCTGCACACCTACCAAATTAGGACCTGTGACTGTGCTTGTACAGCTGCTGAGTCCCCTTAGAGTAAAAGGTGGCTTCAGCCGCATGAACAATCCACTCATTCACACGGCTAGAGTACCCGTGTGAATGAATCCTAAGGACTTATTCGCATGTGAGGTTGGAGGGTGTTAAAACGCCATTGTTGGGCTGCGCTTTTACTGCCCACCAACCGGTACCCTCTTTAGCAGCAGAGGCAGTGGCTAGAGGTGTACTCATGGCAAAACTTATAGACAGCAAAGTGTATGTGAGCAAGTCCTTAATTTTTTCTTAATTATTTTTTAGAACTTTAGTTATTTGTTAAAAAATTTTTTTGATTTTTTAAAAATTATTTTTATTTATTTATGCTAAATTTTTTTTTTATGTCTAAAGGTGCCTTTTAAACGGATGGGGCCCACGACCAGGACAGGAAGGCCAGTTGTAGGTACACTGAAGAGAGAGTGGAAGTAAAGTAAGTTCCATTGTTGATTTATTTATTTATTACAGATACTTATATAGCACCATCAATTTATACAGTGCTTTACATATATATCTTGTATAATTGTAATTTTTTTTGGGGGGGGGGTAGGGGGGCTTTGGTGATGTCTCACATTTGAGACTGAGAAAAGGACGGGGGACATAGATTCATCAGTTTCTTTCTCTGCAGCCTCAGCTGCACAGGTGAATGAATAGGAATTGTTCTTCCTGTTCATTCACAAATTGAAGCATAGTAAACACAGTTTATTATGGGTTCGTGATAAATGGACACAGGTACAGATCGCTCACTGTGTTCATTCAGGAAAGAAAGGGGTGAGTAAATATGACATATTTTCCAGCCCCTTCCTCTGCTCTCCATCATGAAACATCCTCTTGTGTGCCCTAAACAGCTGCAGGTGGGAGAGGAGAGGAGGGAAAGAGGCACAAAGGAGGGTCTAGACAGCAGGGGGATGGAGGTGCAGATACTAGCCATAGGAGAAGAAGCTAGCAGCACTGCAGTGGAGCCAAAAGAGGATCAATGTCTGCA